TATAAACTGGCCGTGGGGAAGTTTAGGCTTGAAATTAGACGAAGGTTTCTGACCGTCAGAGGGGTGAAATATTGGAACAGCCTTCCGAGGGAAACGGTGGGGGCGAAGGATCTGTCTGGTTTTAAGATTAAGCTAGATAAGTTTATGGAGGGAATGGTTTAATGGGATAACATGATTTTAGTCAAAGGAACAGCGTGCCATCGCTGGTAAATAGTATAATGGCCAATGAGGGTCTGGCTGGAGAATCTTGCCTACATGCTCAGGGTTTTACTGATCGCCATATTTGGGGTCAGGAAGGAATTTTCTTCCAGGGTAGATTGGCAGAGGCCCTGGAGGTTTTTCGCCTTCCTCCGTAGCATGGGGCAGGGATCGCTAGCTGGAGGATTCTCTGCTAATTGAAGTCTCTAAACCACAGGATTTGGGGACTTCAACAGCAGAGTCAAGGGAAAGGGTTGGGACGGCTTTGTGGCCTGCATCATGCGGGAGGTCAGACTAGATGATCATAATGGTCCCTTCTGACCTTAAAGTCTATGAGTCTAAGTTCGAGTATGTAGAGCTTTTGGATATCTGTTGGAGGGGAAAGTGAAAGTCTTAAGGAGGGTTGGAATGCATCATCAATAGTGTTGTAGACAATATGAAGGTGGAAAGGAATACATCAGTCTTTCCCCTCAACTTCTTATTTCTAGTCTTAAGCTTTTGGGTGAATGGGGTGTGCCCTGCTGCAACCTTAACTGCCAGTGAATATAGTTTTATTTACTAATAATTAATTACACAAAACATGCTATGTTAATAACCCTAGACTAGTTAAAATAACCTGCAAAATTAGATCATTAATGCAGTCTTTGTTGTTGTTGTAGCCCTCACACTGGGTGGCAGCAGTACCAATCTGATGTGCCGAAGATTCCTACAGCTTGTATTTCAATGGAAGATGCCGAAATGATGGCACGGATGTCTTCCCGAGGCACCAGGATTGTTGTGACCCTGAAGATGGAAGCCAAGACCTATCCCGATACTGGTTCCTTTAACACTGTGGCAGAAATAGTTGGGAGCAAGTACCCAGAACAGGTTAGTGTGAATCTGGAAAAAGAGTGACTCATATTTGAAAACTAGTAACTTCCATTTGCCAGCCCACTGCACTCTGTACATGTTGGCTTTAATATTTGCTTTCAAAACAGCAGGTCAAATTCAGCCTTGGTGTAAGGGAGAGTGTGGTACACCTGCATAAGGACTACTAGGTTCTAAGGTGAGAGAGCTCAGGTAAAATATGGAACTTTAACTGCTCCTTTTTATTTTCAGCTATGTCGCAAGTTCATCTTTATGAAAGTGGTGCGTTCCTTATGTGGATATTTGCCTTTAACAAAAACAAAACAAAACTATGTTAACAGAGGTTAAATCCTAATGCTAGTGAAATGTATTGTGTCAAAATAAAAACAAACAAACTACATTTGGCCATGTAGTGCCCTTGAACTTCCTTGTTCATTTACTGATCTGGTAATCTGCACTAGGTCTTCTAGTCAGCGTGAATAAATGAAGTGCTCCTGTAAATACAAAATACTTTGAAGAGAGATTGTAAACCCATGCAAAGATAAATATCAGTTGTTGAATTAACTTAGTTTTTAATATAAAAAACAATTAGCTCTTTAATGAGCTAATTGGTTCTGATCACCACTGTATTTCAGTGAAGTTACTCCAGTGTAAAACTAGAGTAATGTTCTGGTGAACCTAGCTAACTAGCTGGAAGTTCAGTTTAAATGTTAGCTGTTTTGAAATTGAAAGCTACTATCTTAAGGTTTTTTCCACTTTCTCCATTTTTTTAATTTCCAGTTTTATAGCTTAAAATCAGCCAAACCAAATTTGTGGTCGTAGAAAACTTGTGCCTGAGATGTGGCCTTTTTCTGCCAAGTTACATCATGGAATACATTTTTTTGGTTGTACATTTATAATGGAAATGCTGATGCAACCTTAATTATGGCAGCACTAGAAATCCCTGCTAAAATCAAGCTACTAAGCCAGAATCCTTTTTTAAACTTCAGTTTTCCAATTTTAATGAAATATAGGAGTACTATATCTTTATCATAGTCTTTTAAAAATCATACTTGTTTCATATTTTTATTTGCTTTAATAGTGTTTTGTCCTTTAATAGTGTTATATCTTTAGCTACGGTTTTGAATTATGACAGCTAGGAACCCTAGAGAGAAGTTAGTGTAATCCTTTTTGCTACTAAATGATCAAGCTTCTGAAAACTCTGCAATGGCCATTGTGGTTGAGTGGTTAATATGCCATCAGTTATGAATTTAGCTACATGAAATGCAACCTTACTAAACAAAGTCTTAAGTCTTAAATTGTTAGCTGTACCCTAATTTATGTCACGTAAATTTTTAGCAACAGTTCTGAGTAGCTATTGTATTTACCCTTCCTGAATCATTCTTGATGTATATCAAAATTATAGTATTTCACTGCAAGCATTATAATATCCAAAAAATTTAACCTAAAAGATTTAAAGCAGAAGGCCCATGTATATTCTCTGTGGCTATCTTCACCTGTCTCTTTCAGTAGCCCAACAAGAGAAATGTCCTTGAACTGAGCAGCAAAGATTTTTGAAACCCTAGGTGGATATTTAGTCACAAGTTCCCTGCTGACGTTAATGGGAGTGGTGGCATATACACCTTTAAAATGTAACCCAAGAAACAGGAAATAAAACAAGTGAACATTGCGGGTTTTCAGTACTTGTTTTTCACAGGAGGTTAATGCATGTTTTGCCACCCAAATGATACACTGTTACTCTGGTAAAAACTGGAACCATCTAACTATTCATGCAATCAAATACAATATAGAATTAAACTCTTATGATGCACTTTATGCCAAAGAATCTTGGAATGCATTAAAAACTCGATGGAACAGAAAGGTGCTGTTTTTATGAGCCAGAGTCTCAATTAAAGTTTTGCATTAAAACATTAGCAAATTTGGCCTTCTGAACCTGGGTGAGAAATCAACAGTAGGAGACATAATATTATAAAAGCTTCTAAAGCGATATGTTTTGAACAGTAAGCAGGGACCTTCAAAACACCACCATTAGCAAATGTGCAACTAGTTGGGCACCTATGGTAGAAAATTTAAGGTATGTATTTGTCTGTGAAGATCACTGCATGATGCAGAGCCAGTCTGATGTTGTGCATTGTAATGTGTATCAATGTTTGTACATTAGAGATTTTGGTAACCGTAGCTGTGGTATGGACTAGACTTTAATACAATACAATGCAATGGGAAAAAATGTTAACATAAAGTTAAGGTTGCTTGGCAGTATGTTGCCCCTTTGCAGAACATTGAGTTGAGCAAAACTGAAATTTCTGAACACCAGGAGATGTGATGTTAAAGTTGCCCAAGCAATCTTAACTCAGCAATGCCCCAATATGCCCATTAACATGTGTATCTTTACTCTGCCAACCCCACAATTGCTGAAATGTACAAGCTGTTTGCCTCCTTTTATAACCCATTCACTCTCATCTACAGGATTCCATCTATTAAAAGGACAAAAAGGAAAAATTAATTAGGGTTGGGCTGCAGGATGGTTGGGGTGCACTGGCAGACCTGGAGGTGCAGGAAGGGTTGGCTGCTGCAGGGTGGCTAGGGTGCACTGGCAGACCTGGAGGTGCAGGAGAGTTGGGGTGCACTGGCAGAGCTGGGGGGGTACTATACCTCCTTCACTTGAACTTCCAATGTTCTCCCCTCTCAAGAAGCATTCACATGTCTAATTTTTCTCCCAAACACTTTGATTACATTCCCCCCAAAATGAAATTGCCACCCATTACTCACAAATTGCAGCAGCCTCCAGCCACTCATTTCAAAACTCCTTTTGTCTTACATGGGGGATTGTGATTAATTTATCCTTAGATACATTAATTGAAGGGTGAGTTCACAGCCATCAAGATGTTTGTGATTCATCCAGTCATTAGTACCTCTCAGTTTAACAGTACAAGTCAACAGAAGAAAACAGGGTGTGTGTTTTTTGGAGGCGCACAATAACTTAGGAATCCCTTGGTCAAAGGACTTCAAATTTGGATCACTAGCCCTACCCTGAAATCCCTATGAGGCACCCCAATTTTCAAGGCAATCTGAGTAACTGTTTGGATTTTAGAACACTTATAAAATTTGAGTTTAAGGTGCAAAAAATAGGAATGGAAACCCTTTGGCCTTTTTTCCATATTGGCTCATACACACTGTAATATATGTACATTTTCTTAAATACCATTCTCAGTTTGGGTCCCCCAAATATTTAGTGGGTGCCATGCACTACCTTGGATAAAACTTGATAGATTGAGAGCCTTTTGATCCGCATCACTACTATGGTTTGATCTCTAGCTCTGACCAAACTAGAAACGTTTTTTAAAATTACTGGGGGAGGAGGTGGCTTTTATCTCCAGAACCCCTGGCTCAAAAGACTCCACATTTGGAACATTAACCCTACACTGAACCCTCCTGAGACACACCAAATGTCAAAGAAATACAATGAAGCCTGTTGATTTTAGAGGTCTTAAAGAAGTCCACTTTTAAGGAGGTGACATGACATCACCTTACCTGTAATAGTGCTCCTGATCCATTATATAATGAAGTTACAGGTAATAATAGCTTATTAAATCTTCTCAAAAGATTTGTAGCATTTTTTTAAAGGGCCACCACAAACTTAAATTATATTGGTTTGAAAACTTTATCTACTATCGTTACAAGAAGCTGTGAGAATGGATAGGACAGAGTCTGTTTGGGCCAAAATCACTTTGGGGAAGAAAACTACTAGAGGTTCCCCTGCCATAGTATTTGGGGTGTACGACAGACCACCAGAATCTGGTTTGGATATGAATAGAGACCTGTCATACACATACAGCTAAGGGTAGCATAAAATCCCTCCTTACCCTGTAAAGGGTTAAGAAGCTCAGATAACCTGCTTGGCACCTGACCAAAAGGACCAATAAGGGGAGAAGATACTTTCAAATCTGTGGGGGGAGGTTTTTGTTTTCGGGTTCCTTTGTTCTCTCTGGGTCAGCGAGGAGCCAGGGTAGGGAAAATACATCTCTCTAAGCCATATCTGAACTAAGCATCTAATATTACAGAAATAGTAAGTAATAACAAGGAAATATGTTAGATTATCTTTTGTTTTAGCTTGTGAATTTTCCCTGTGCTAAGAGGGAGGTTTATCCCTGTTTTTGTAACTTTAAAGTTTTGCCTAGAGGGGAAATCCTCTGTGTTTGGAATCTTTTTGTTACCCTGTAAAGTTATCTTCTATCCTGATTTTACAGGTGACTCTTTAATTTTTTTTTCAAATAAACTTCTTTTAAGAACCTGATTGTTTTTCAGTGTCCTAAAGACCCAGGGGGGTTGATCTGTGCTCACTTTGTAACCAATTGGTTAGGATATTATTCTCAAGCTTCCCCAGGAAAGGGAGTGTAGGGACTTGGGGGGATATTCTGGGGGAGATAGGGCTCTAAGTGGCCCTCCCTGAATGTTTGTTTAAATCACTTGGTGGTGGCAGCGATACCAAGGGCAAGGAAGGAATTTATTCCTTGGGACGTTTTTAACCTAAGCTGGTAGAAATAAGCTTAGGGGGTCATTCATGTGGTTCCCCACATCTGTACCCTAGAGTTTAGAGTGGGGAGGGAACCCTGACAAGACCTCTTTCATGTTTTTAATGAAATAAATACTACTGGGAATTGTGTGATTATGGGAGACTAATTTATCAGATATAGCTTGGAGGACACGTGCTACTAATAACAGTAGGGCCCAGATTTTCCTGGATGCAATAGCTGGCCGATTTCTTCACCAAATAGTCACTGAACCAACAAGAGGTGAAGCCATTTGAGATTTGGTATTAGTGAGTAGTCAGGACCTCATAGAAGAGCTGGTTGTAAAAGACAACCTTGGTTTGAGTGATCATGAGTTAATTCAGTTTAAACTAAATGGAAGGATAAACAAAAATAGATCTACAGCAAGGGTCCTTGATTTCAAAAGAGCTAACATTAAAAAATTAAGGGAATTAGTTAGGGAAGTGGACTCGACTGAAAAACTCAAGGATC